TTGGACTCTGCCAGTTACTTCAAGCTGCCAAGCTCTAGGGGACTCATTTGCAGAGACAGGAATAAATGGTGCCTCCTGGAGTCATGTAGCTGGTGTTCACTCACTGTGTTTTATATTGGCTGCTTAGCTTCTATAACCTCAGTTTTCTCATACATAAAATGGTGCTAATTATACCTGTTACATTGCAGGTTAGTTGGGAGGAAAAAGTGACAGGAAAGTGTGAAGGGGTAAGGGCTTTGTAAATGGATGGGCATCATCTAAAACAGTCACCATGAGCCTTTTTGCTTTTCAAAGATTGCTGTTTCAGGTTCTTTCTTTATTGCTTTGTTCCAAATTCAAATGAATGGAGCTCTTGATTGTGCCTGGATCTCCCTCCTAGGCTTGGTAGGTGGAGTGTGGTGTCTTGTTCTGCCTTAGGTCTGGCTGGGGAAGCCAGTTCCACCTATTAGGAGAATGAGCCCACATTCAAGACTGGAGGGTTGGAGGAAGAAGATCTTGGACTGGGTGGTCAGAGCAGACTCCATGGGCCTGTGAGGTTAGAGATGGCAAAGTCCAACTTGTGAGATCTGCCATAAATGTTTCTCCAAGCTCCAAGCAGACCTGAGTGGAATCATGACTGAAAGCTCTTTGGGCCCTAGGTTTTTTCATCTGAAAAAGAGAGAATGTTGCCCATCTTATGGGATATTAAATTAACTAACAAAGGTAAAATACCCAAGATCATCCAGGTATCACCTCATACACTAGCATAGCAGGTTCTTAGAAAATACATTATCACACCTACTTTCATGAGCACTCATGCCCTTTTGGTGACCAAAGGTATAGTCTTTCTTGCCTCTGGATTTACCCCAGGCTGGGGCAGTTCTTTATTTGCTAGTCACAAGAACACTGTAAAGTCATTGATATTCTAGGATGGCATGTAATAAGCTCAACTTTGGGCAAGAAATGCCTTTTTTTGTTACGGAAAAGCTTGCTAGAGTAGAAAGAAGATTGGGCCAAGGAGAAGACTTGAAGACTAAGCTCTTTAATAATAACAGCACTGACGATGATTGAGTATTTTGTGCCAGCTGCCATGCTAAGCACTTTACATACTTTGTCTTATTTAACCTTAGAACATCCCAAATGATGCCAGACCTGTATTCGCTTCATTTCAAATCTGAGGCTTAGAAAGGGTAGTTGCTTGCTTTAGGCCACATAGCCAGTAAGTTCACTTTTAATCACCACATGCTGAGTATCTCTTGCACACTAAGTTCCCTGCCTGGGTTTCTTGTGGAATTTTCACAACAACCCATTTCACAGATGAAGATACTGAGACTCAAGGGAGAGTAAATAATTGTCCGAGTTTGCTCACCTGTTAAGAGACAAAACTAAGATTCAGGCCTGGTCTAAGGCTATTTGTCTCCCTCATTGCTTAGCCTCCTGCTTCTGGCCCCAGCTGGAGGGGTAGCCAAAGTATGGAAGAGAATGGTAGTTAAAAACAAAACAAAACAAAACAAAAAAAACAAAAACAGAGACAGTAGCTGGAAAAATGTGTAAAGGAATGAGGTCCAAGGAGATTTGATAAATAGGGGTTGCATCTGAAAGAACTGGGAGGAACCTGGGGTGTAGGAGAAGGGGTTCAGAACTGCCCCTGGGGAGGGCCAAGAGGAGGGAGCAGGTGCTTTTATGTAGTGCCAGCTACCTGGTGCCAAAACTGACTGACAGCTTGCAGGATTGTGCAGGGCTGGGCACCGACATTGCTTCATTATCCAGGCCATGTAATCGTGAGCAGAATTTGTAATTACACTAATCTGGCCCTGAGGTTGCACCACACACTCTACCACCTTTTATGTTCGGTGACCCCTCCAGTCATTGGCGCTGGAGCTCACCCTCGCTTGGCTGGCTTGGGTTTGGCCAGCGCTCTGCAGCCATCTGCCCAGGCTGCAAAGCTCTTTGTTGCTTTTGGCATGTTTAATAGCTTAATTTCTATTTTTCTGTTTAGAAATGCAGTTCCTCAGCATTGAGGCAGAAGTGCGTGCTAAAATGGTTTCTGATTTCTATCTTGAATGTTAATATCCTAATACATTTTATCATCGGTGACCTGTCTTTTCTGCTGTGGGTTTTCACTCCCCTTTTGTAAAGATAGGTCATGCTGCCTGCCTTCGGATAGGCCTCGTGGCCGTCTCATTCCTTTGCTGTCTTCCTCCCGCTTTTCACAGATAGCATTGTATTTTGCCAATAAAGTCCACAGTCGTGGGAAATCTTGGACTTGGAGGATATGAGAAAGTGTTTTATTTTGCCGGCGAGGTTTAATAGGGATGATCTAATCTCCAAAAGGCATACATTATTTAAATTGCATGCTTTTGGGCAAGAGGGCCCATGGTATTTTTTAACTTTGGCAGAGACATAATTCTGGTTGGGCTCTATTCAGTAGAGCTGACTATTGGTTTTTCTATTTGTAATTCTATGCAGGGGCTAGGTTATATCCTGTGGTGGGGGATCAGTACTAATGGAGAGAATTCTGGAGGATATTTTCCTTACCCAGCAACAATATTATGGACGTTCAGGAAAGAAGGTATGAGAAGAGTCATCTTGTAGAAACACTAGTTTGTTATTTGGCTCTTATCTGGATCCCAAATCAAGACCCCAAGCTCAAGTGAGCAGGTCCCATGTGGCATTTGAGGACTATTGCCCACCTGCTCATATTACCCTTCACTCCCTGTCCTGATAGAGTACTGACCTGTCACCAATGGCCTCACTCATAAGGCACTGAAGACCCCTTGTTAATGAAAGCAAAATTTGGAAGGAAAGGAAACCTTAAGTGCTCTCAATCACTAAAGGCTAAGTTTAGAAATAGGGTGGCTCCTAAATGATCCTAAGAACCTGGATTCTGGGTAGAGTGAAATGTTGGCTTGGGGTGGAGGAGGAAGGCCTGGAGAACACCAGTTCATGTTGAGTTTCTTTGCCTTGTGGGGAGTACATGGTGCTCGTGGTGTAGCTGCTTCGTCTTCCACTCTCCCCTGCAAATGCCGTTTTAGTATAGATCACATGCTGCCTTCCTTCCTGGGGAAGATGGCTTGGAGGAGTGAATGATCTCAGAATAGGTTCTGGAAGTTCTGAGCATAGAGCCTTTCCCACCTCCACAAATACGTATGGGTGTTTCCTGACTAAGAGACAGTGAGCTAAGGACTTAGGATGCAGATACATATGGTTTCGTGTTTTCTGTCTAGCAGCAGAGACGGAAACATGGACAGGTGTGACAGTTTAATAGGAGCCATGATTAAGATATGTCTGGTGTGCTGTGGGAGCAAACATGAGGGGGCAATTAATTCAGACTGGGCCTTTCTGGAAAGGCTTCAGAGAGGAGGTGATAATTGACCTGGACCTTGAAGGAAAGGGAGGAAGTGTCCACCAGATTGACTCCTCCCAAGTATTCCTTGCTAAGTGACTGCTTGCTCTGTGCTGGGGACGATAAGAAAAGAAAAGAAAAGGAAGGGATAGTGATTCTTGCCCTCAAAGAGTTCACAGCTTGTTAGGGAGAGAGCCTGGTACTTATGTGCCAATTAAAGCTCTCCTAGACAGATGGGCTTGTGGAGGTGGGGAGAGGCGAGCAGGGAAACTTGGTGAACCAGGGTTTCCGGAGTTACTACTCTCTCTTTTGGAGAACACAGCTTTTGTAAGAATAATTCAGACCTTGCAAAAATGTCTCAACTACAAGAAACCAACCCTCTGAAATTTCTCCCATCATATGATTTCCATCAGCTTGGGTCTTTATAGAAGTAGTTAGCTGGATTTAAGGTGGGGAAGAAGGGAGTTAGGGTTGGAGAAAAGGCTTATGGTAAACAGCAGTGTCAACTCCTTTTAAAACCCTAGCAGAATCTGGGGTTTGTAACATGCATGTGTAGCCAACATATGACATGAATGTGGGGGAATCCTAATCTCACATAAACACCACACACATTCTGAGCCTCTGCAGTTTATTCCACCTTGAATGCCTTTTCTTTGTTGCCTCCATGAAGTCTTCTCAGACTGCTCTTCTACATCAATTTTAGACCCATCAGATATTATGAGTTGTTCTTTATTCTTCATCATTAAGTTGGACTCAGCCTTGTTCTCTTTTTTAAAAATCTATTTTTTAAGTTTTTGCCCTAGGGCCACTGGAGACACATAGAGACAGAGATAGAAAAAGTGAGAAATCACCCCCTGAGGGGGAATGGCTACACCTTCGTCCCTTCTCCTCCATTCTCCTATTAGGATTTTGGACATTCATGCATATATGGCCAGTGTGATTTTCAAGCCACCAGATGTGGAACTTGAGCTGTAGTTGCCCATGTGGGAGTCCAGTGCTTTAATTGCCATGTCACTTGCTGACCGCGCTCTGTTTTTAATTCCCAATGAGATTGTAAACACTGAGAGCAGAAATAGTGTCTTATGCTTCTCTTATTTTCCTTGGGGCAGTTGGGGTAATGTAAGGAATATGGGCTTCTTTAGACAATCTTGGCATTGAATCTCTGCATTGCCACTTACCTTGGGACTTGGAGCAGTTTCCTTATCTGTACAATGAGATAACACATGGGTTTCAGCCTCAACACTATTGACACTTTGGGCTGGATGAGTCATTGTTGCGGGAACTGTCCTGTGTACCATAGAACATATTGCAACATTCCTGCCTCCATCCATTAGATGCCAGTAGCACCTCTCTCTCTCTAGTCATTACAATTCAAAATGTCTCTAGACATTTGCCACTTGTCCCCTGTGGAACAAAATCACTTCCAGCTGACAACCACTGGAATGATGCTATACCAGACTAACTTCTGAGTACTGCACCCAGAATACAGTAGATATTCAGCAAATGCTGATTCTCTTTCATTCCTCCTTCCTATACCCCGTGACCCATTGTAGGCTGATGAATTGCAGGGAGCTATGACTCGGGGTTTTAGTGTTTGGGATGGAAATGTTGTGAAACTCTTGGGTTGCCCACACAGAGTTGCCTAACAGAGTCACTCTCCTTTTCTTAATTGCAGATTGATCTGGAGCCAGAAGGAAGAGTGTATGTGATCATCGATCTCTCGGGGTCATCAGGTGAAGGTAGGAGAGTGTGACCTTCATCCTTGTAGTCTTCCATTGACCCTTTGCCTTCCAGGACTCTCCCTTTCCTCCTTGGCTGGGACATATTACAGTGACATTTAATTAATTGGCATACTTTAAAGGCAAAGGTTATTTTGAAGATGCTTATGTCAGTATACCAAAAGGGACCAGCCATCTACTAAATTCCAGAGGATTTTTGACTTACCAAGTGGTCAATAAATAAGGCCTTTTGCACATTGTGTGTGAGGCAGGTTTTAGTGGGGTGACAGCTACTGCCAGGAGGCTCACATGGGGTTTGTGCATGTGTGTTGGGAAGGAGGGAAAGCCAGTTAGTCCAACAGTATTTGAAAATGCAACTAATAAGGGGTCACCCTTCAGAATCCTAGTTTGGAGCTCTTGTAGAAGTGCTACTTCTTTTATCAGTTCTTTATGCTGGCTAAAGCCCTGCTCTTAAAGAGAAATAACAGGGCAAGGAACATCTGCTCCCCACTGGCTAAATAAATGACATAGATTTTCTCTGTTCAGTGGATTTTCCTTCTCTCTTCTCCTTACAGTCTCTTCTTTCAATCCTTTCTTTGCTCACTAAATACCATGTAAGAGTTTGTTGAGCGGTGAGGACTAAGCAGTCAGGGTAGAAAGGAAGGCTGGAAAATAGAACCCTGTCCAAATAATAAGGAGATGGCAGCAGACTTAAGCTCCAGAGAAGGTTGGGAATTTGGACTGAAATTTAATTATTGGACCATCTTTCCTCTCCTCCTCCTCTCTCTGTGGGTAGGGGGACAGAACAGTTGGCTTTAATGTCATGGCAGAGAGATTGGAAGACCACAGCTGTTTTTCTTGACAATGAGAAAAATAAGGGCTTGGGGGCTTATTTCCCAGAATACTGGGGATCACAACACAAAGTCACAACTCCTCCCTCCTCCACAGTCTCTAGCTGAAGACTTGGTGATGGAGAGAGAGATTATATAAGCAAATTCAAATTTGGTCAGCGATGCACTTGACAGTGGTGTCTAATTTTCATATTGCTAATTCATCACCCAGTTTCAGCAGGTATTCAGAATAATTCAATAATTGTGTGTATATGAAGATCATAATAGAATTCAGTCCTGTTTTAATTTCAATTATTTTGGCATAGGTTTAAAACGTTAACATTCTTCCAGAATTGGTTGCTTACATTTTCTGCTCTTTATTGCAATTACAGTTTGGCATTTCCAACTTCCCTTTTCTGTTCTCAGCTCTCAGAATAGAATCTGTTGTAGAAAATTTGAAGATGGAACAATATTTAGTATGAAATATTTAAGTCCTACAAAAGGGCCTAAAGAAAAATTAAATGAGCATTAGTGTACCCACCATCAGATTAAGAAATACACTTCAGTTAGGGAGTTGAAACCCTATGGTTGCCATTCACATAGCATGTTTTCCAAATTTACCAGATAAAAGGTTTTAAAGAAGCTTCCCGATTGTAGACACTGGTCAAAGATTTAATAGGCAAAATCAAGACCCTTTTTTCCTTACATAATATGTGCAATAGTATAATTAATTAAATATGTATTTCTTGTGATAAGATGCAGGGCAACCAATAGGAGGTTTGAATTATTATTTTTTTCTTTGTAAAGATTAATGACCTACAAAATTATTTACATTAGAGGAAAGGAGATGGACAAATGAATGAATAAATAAATCAGAATCAATTGATTTTTTTCTTCTTGTTTCTGCAGCTTATTGCATGTGAATAGCCAAAGCAATTTTCACCGGGCTAAATTCTGAGTCTATTTTTTAAATCTCTTTCATCTAAAGAAAATAGAGTTTACTTTAGAAATGCTGACACATGCCAGAATCTGTAAAGTGCTAGCATGTGTTACTCTGAAGAAAAGAAAAAAAATTTCTACCCTTTTTTTCTTGCTGTTCTTGGGACTTTGGATCTTTTCTTTGGATAGAGAGTAGGACTTTCAGTAATCTCTTCTTAGAAACTGGTCTTGGTTGAGTTGTACACATCTTGCTTCTTGGTCCTGTTGCTGGGACTGGGAAGGCATGTAGTCCAGAAGTTGCTTTGGTTTGGGGACGGTTAAAATGGCAAGGAGAGGACCTAGAAAATGAGAAAGCCTATTTTTTGTAATCCGGGCTGCATGAGAAGGATCCAGGGTGAAATGTGGTGTTTGTCACAAATTCCTTATTGGATGTATGGGCTGTGGACATTTACAGATTCTATTTGAGGCTCTTTATTTAGTGAAAATACCTAATTCTGTATTCTGTGAAAGGGAAAAGTGAGAGTTGAAATGAGGGACAGCTGAAGTTTCACTGCTCTCTTATCCTGCCATGAACCATCTCTTTACCCTCCCGTCTCAAATGCTCCAGCCCCATCAATGGAAAAAAGTTTTCATAAAAATCACACAAACTTTACAACACATGAAATCCCAAAGAGCTCAGAGATGGGTGTGGGAGTGAGACAGTGTGACTACAGCCCCTTCTTCTAGGATGTGCCAAAGGATTCTGTTTCTTGCTACCATACTGCTGGAAAGCCTGGACGTTTACTTTTGCTAGAGCTGGGGCTAATGTGATTTCCAACTGCCTAATAAAATTCCACTGCTTGCATGTCCTGTGCTGTTCACTATAATGGGATTTGACTGGTGTATGCTTTAGCTAAACTAGGCAACCTAACCCAAGATAGAAGGGGTCAGGCTGCTGGGTGACATTTAAGGTCATTTCTGGTCATATGATTTATCCTTTGGTATAATTTGAATAGGCATCTGTTAGAGCTTGCGGTTGAGGGCTGGCTAATATCTACAACAGGTAGAAGGGATTGAAAGAAATGGAGTCTTTTTGGCAGGCAAAGTGCTGGGCACTTTTTGATTATCTTAAGTGGCAAAACTATTCAGATTACGCTTGTGTGAACCTTCCGTCTCAGGTGCTTTTTAGTGTTTTGCCTTTATCATAAATAATAATCACATGACTTCTTAGTAAGCATGGCATGACGGGCTCACCAGATATTTAAATCAAAGAATGATTAGCCCAGGGAACAGGAACAAAAATAGCAGTGCATTTCCAAATGTGCAAACGATTGTTTCCTGCTGTGCATATTAGTTGGTATTTCTTCCTTTGTTATGACATAATTCATGTGTTATTTCTTATTATTTATAAGAATATGGCCAATGCACAATTTTCCTGAATTTCCAGATGAGAAATGGTCAGGGGCTGACCCTGGGACATATGAACTCTTTTCCAGCCTTCAATTCAAGTGTGTTGCTCATCTGGGAGAGTTCTTCAGAGTTTAAACCAATGATCAAAAGAAATAACAAGAAGAAATAGTAACAGGTCTCATCAGTAGGTTTGGATCTCCAAATGGTTTTTCCAATAAAATACAGAGATTAGTGGGCTGGCCATGCTGCTTTAGCAGTCCTAGGTCTACGTGGAAGACCACAGGGTTGGTTCCCAGGTCAGGCTGTAAATGCTGGGCTTACACCTGTGTTCCTGGCTACTAGGAAGGCTGGAAGAATGAGACTATTGAGGGTTCTTGTCTTTCTCTGTTTCACTCTCATTAACAAGATGAACTTTAAAATAAATACAGGGACCAGCAATTAGTGTAATGGCTATGTCGCTGGACTCCCATGTAGTCAACTGCAGTTCACGTCCCGGACCCGGTGGTTTAAAGCTCATACCAGGCGCATGTGCATGTGTGCCCAAGATCCCAAGAGGAGAAGGGATTGTGGTGTGGCCATCCCCTGTGGGGGGTGATTTCTCGCTTTCTGTTTCTCTGTCTGGTGAGTGCATGTGCCTTATAGCAAAAACCTCTCCAAAAAAAAAAAAAAGAAATATATAGAGAGTACAACATAATTTGCAGCACAGACATTATAGATAATGCAGTTAAATCAAGTTCTGGAGGAATTGTTTATCATAGAAGCAGAAGAGGAGCAGGGAAGAGGATTCACTCTCTCCCCACTTCTTTTTGTAGCCACATGCTATACAAAATGTTCAGTCTCCTCTCTGGGATTGGCAGCAGAGAGAGAGAGAGGAAAGAGCAGAGCCATAGGAGTTCATCAGACCTGTATTTAAATCCAGCTCAGAACTTCAGATTTCTCACCCATATTGTGGGGATAATAATGTGATTGTTACTATACTAGGATTGCTATAAGAACAGCACCTAGGTTCAGTGCCCTTCACATATAGGAGATGCTCAATAAAGATCCTAAAGCTCTGGAGAGCTGAGGGGAGGGAGGTAGACTTAGATTCACTCAGTGCCAGGAAGATCAGATAGGGTATTCTGGGAAACATTGAGGGTAGGCATCTGACTCGGGTGAAGAACGGAGCTAGGTAACAAAGTGGTGACTTACAGAGTAACGTATGCAGGGGCTGTGAGATTTCTGTACAGTTCAGACCTTGCCAGTTTCGCCCCTTCATCCCTCTTTTTCTTCCTCACCCTTCCCCAAATGAAGTCATTCCCAGGAGGGCATTCTCTAGCATCTTTGAGATACTCAGCTATGTCCTGTGGCTCTTAATGTCAGAGGCTTCTCCTTGTCAGAGCCTGGCTTGTTCTATGTCCACTCAGCGCAGACTGAGAGTATGTGGTGCCTCTACTCTTACCAGACCTGTGTGAGAGACCTTCACATATTTGAAGACAGTTATTAAATCATTCTTCTTCAGGCTGAATCAATCAAGTGTTGTAATACTTTGAAAGGATATTTTAGAAATCTTAACTCATCTTTGCAGTTCTCTTCTGGACTGTTGTCAAGTTGCACAGACAGACAGACATGATCTAACTAGCTCTGCTTGACTCTGAAACAATTACAAGTGTGTAATTATTTTAGCTTTACCAGGTATCTAACAGTACTACCTCCATGGGGAAGATGGTGAAAGTGAGAAGTAAATGGTAAAATCGACATGCCTGGAACCATAAGTTTAAGAGGCCCTGTGAGGTCTCAACCAGAGGTATGATCCAATCCCTTTCTCCGAATCACAACCCCAATAATGAGGTGGCCAACATGGCAGTGACCTCTCACTATTCT